CTCCCTCTCCCTGTCTCCCTCCACCCTCTCTCCCTACCTCTCCCTCCTTCCATCTCCCTCTCCCTCTCCCTTTCCCTCTCTTTCTCTCCTCTCTCTCCCCCTCCCCTCCTCTCCCTCCCTCTCCCTCCCTCCTTTTCCCTCCCTTTCCCTCTCTCTTTCTTTCCTCTCCCTCTCTCCTCTTTCCCTCCCTCTCCCTCCATCTCCCTCCCTCCCTCCCATTCCCTCCCTCTCCCTGTCTCCTCCCCCCTCTCCCTCCCTACCTCTCCCTCCTTCCCTCTCCCTTTCCCTCTCTTTCTCTCCTCTCCCTCTCTCCCCCCCTCTCTCTCTCATCCCTTGTTCTCCCTTTTGAGAGTCTTCCTAGATTGCAGCTTTCATTGCTCTATATTTTTGCACTCATTTTTACCTTTGTGATCCGTCGGAGAAATGCAGTGTTTTCTCTTTTTCTCCGTCATATTTCCTCCTTTCTCCCCACCTCCCGTTCTGTTTTGTGTGGCTTGATTCCAAGGAGTAGCCACCCCTTAGTATGGAAGGGGGTGGGTGGGAGAACACTCCTTCATACAGATAGTCCTTGACTTACAACAGTTCGTCTAGTGACCTTTCGAAGTTACAACGGCACTGAAAAAAAGTGACTTACGGCCGCTTTTCACACTTAACGACCATTGCAGCATCCCCGTGGTCCCATGATCAGAATTCAGGCGCTGGGCAACCGGTTCATATTTACGACGGTCGCAGGGAAGGTTTAGGCGATGCCCTTTTGAGACCTCCTGGCTAGCAAGGCCTACGGGGGAAGCCAGATTGACTTCACAACTCTGTTAACTAACTGAACTGCCGCGGCTGTTGACTTAACTCCTATGGCAAGAAAGGTCATAAAATGGGGGAAAGCTCACTTAAGAACAGAAAGGTTGGGCTCAGTTGCGGTCATAAGTCCAGGACTGCCTATATGCGGTTTGACGTTGTCTTACCCCTGGCAAGATAAGTAGGGCCGGTAAGATCCGCTCCCCCTTCTCTCAAGAGTGATTTAATTCAGTGAGACGAAACAAACCCCGCCCAAGGATCCTGGTGTCCGGAGGGCCCCCTGAGAGGTGGCGGACGGAGCAAGTCACCTGAGCAAGGCCGCCTTCCTTCCTTCCTTCCTTCCAGGCATTACCCCGCCCTGAAGACCTTGGAGCACCTGGAGCGCATGTGCCTGCCTCAAGTCAACCATTACCGCTTCTGCAAGGTCATGGTGGAGAACATTCCACGGCTGCGCGAGGAAATCAAAGACGTCTCCATGTCTGACCTCAAAGACTTCCTGGAGAGCATCCGCAAACACTCGGACAAGATCGGGGAGACGGCAATGAAGCAGGTGAGCCACCAGGCGGGGGTTGGGGGGGGGATGAGAGACTGGAACCCCCTGCACTCCAAACTCATTGCCCTTGCGTTGGGCGGGATTGTCCGTCTCGTCCTAGGCCGTCTTTTCCCCCGTGCAGCCGCAGGCCCTGGGAGCTCCCCCTTCTGGCAGCCTGTCTGTAAGTGTCAGCTGCCGAGGACATCAGCGAGAGGATCTTGCCTGCCTGACCCGTGTCTTGGATCTTGCTCAAAGACAAGGCTGGACCAGATGGCCTCAGGGCTCCCCCTCTGGGGCTGGGAGGACACCCTTGTAGCCTCCAATGCTGGGAAACGCAGGCAGGGCTGGCCGGGTCTGGGTTTCCGTTTTCTGGCTTCGGAGCATGATTGGTTTATTTTATTTTTAAGATTTGTCGGCTGCCCAGTTTACCTCAAGGTAACTCTGGCCGGCTTGCAATCCTAAATGATAAAAACCACACGAACGTGAAAGTGGAGCAGCTTTCGTGGCCGACTCCTTCTCACGACGGGCCCCTGTCTCAGGATGCTGCCAGGCGAAACTTTTCCTTTGCTGCTGGCGGCATAGTACCCACTGCACCGAACGGCCCACTCGGGGTAGTAGTTTTTCATTATGAGCACACCTACTCGTCGCTTGATTCTCCTTCCCGGTAAACACCGTTACATAACGTACAGAAAAGGCGCCAGAAGCAGTAAGCCGAGGAATGAGATAAGAAAAAAGGAGAATAGGGACACTGCTCACTGTGGCCCCCCGTGCCCCTCCTAATCGTGCGGTTCATTGAGGCGTCTTTCATGCCCTTGCTCTGCTCTGCGCCGCCTGCCTTCTCTTCCGAATTTCTCCGGAAATGGGTCGATTGCACAACTAGGTTTAGTACCTAGGCTGACTCTGGCCTCGGCCTTTAGAAGATAACCAGCTTAAGTTGCCATGAGCGGAGTGGAATTTCGATGACAGCCGAGAGACGAGAGCCTGCGCACCTCTCGAAAAGTTGTTGGTGTGACATTTTGCCCTCCTGTGATGCTTACCCCTCAGTTGTGGGTGGGGGGCGGGGGGGGTGTCCTTCGTTGGCTTTGCTCGGTGTGATGGGAGATGCTCTGGGCTCAGGGCAGAAAGGTTGGTCCTGTCCGCACCCAGCATGCCAGCTGTCAGAGAATAGAATAGAATTCTTTTATTGGCCAAGTGTGATTGGATATACGAGGCTCATGGAAGGCTGAGAAGGGCCAGACGCAGGGGTGGCTCCGGCAAGCATTTTACCTCCTTCAGCTGACGAGCGGCTGTCAGCCGTGCCACACAAAGCCCACTGGGGAGGAAAACACAGCCGCTAAGGACAGCCTATAGCCCGGGCTGGCGGGTGGGCCAAACAGCAGACCAAAACCTCGTCCTGGCAAACCGGTTGGGTGTCAGCTGCTCTTCGGAGCTACCGGTTCTAGAGAACCGGACCGAACCGCTAGGATCACAACTCCTGAGGCATCCCCTTTTTTGCAGAGCCAAAGAAGGCGCCCAGTGGGAACAGGCACGAGAGGGTGGAGTTGCCGCCTCTTCTGGGCCTTTGAGGCGCTGGGTCTATGTGTGCACATGGGGAGGAGTGTGTGTGTGTGTATGTGTGTCCTGGAAAGAGCCCCCCTCTCTACCTTTATAAGTGGGCTGCATTCAGCCCCACCGAGGGTGAAGGTCCCTAGCAGAGGGAGAGGGCAGTTACACCAGGGGGGCAGTGCCTCCACCTCCCTTTGTCATCAGATGAAGGAACCCCACCGGTTCTCCCTGTCAGCCTTGGTGGTCCTTAAGCCCCCTCTAAACCAATAAAGCCAAGGAGGGGCTTTGGACGCTTGGTGTTTAAAACCGGCTTCATGAAAACCATCCAGATCTACCTGATGTGAGCAGTTAAGAAGCTTTGGGTTGTTTACAGAAACGCTGGGCTGTTGGCAGAGCCAGAGACCGTATTTCTGGGAAAGTTTCTGCAGTCCCGGCCTCCTGGA